GAATCTCTTTTAAAACTTCCAGCACATTTTTTTGATTATCCTCAGTGCTGGGAAAACATTTTCACTTAAATAGGGTTTTGATCTGGAGAAGCAGCTGAGAGCTGTGTGTAGGCAGCTCTGGTGACTGGGGCAGTCACACTGAATAATGTTGCATGAAACACGGAAGGAGGCTCTAGCCCCGCTGTGGCCTCATCCGCTGTGGACACCACGGCCACGCAGGCCACGGTACATCCAAAATGTGGCTGGGCAGAACTTTGATGTGCCTAAGTACGAAATGCACAGCAGACTTTGAAGACTTTAAGGATGTAAAATAGTTTGGGCGCAATGGCTTGCGCCTGTAATACCAACACTTTGGAAGGCTGAGGCAGGAGGATCACCTGAGGCCGGAAGTTCAAGACCAGTCTGTGCAACAAAGTAAGACCTCATCTCTACCAAAAATAAAAAAACTATTGGGTCATGGCGGCATGCGTCTGTAGTCCAAGCTAAAATAATATTTTGGATATACTGTGCTGAAAATTACTTAATTTCACTTTTTTTTTTTTTAACTTTTAAAATGTGGCTACCAGAAAATTTAAAATTGTATATGTGGCTCCGGTAATGTTTTTTGTGGACGTGGCTGGTCTAGAGAAAGGGGAGTAATTTTCTTGCATGGCTTATTAATTGACCTTGCAATTCTTAAAGAATTGTTAAATTCTAAAAATATTCTGGACAACATTAGAATAGCATATAGCTTTTGCAGGTGATTGTTGAGAAGGACAGTACAGTTTTTGATTTGTAGTTTGCAGTGTGACTTTTTTTAAAGTTTCATCACTTGGTTGTCATATGTCACTTTGTGGCATGAAGTGTTTTGGCCAGGAGTGGCCAGAAGGCTTCCTGGAGAGGCTGATCCGGAGCTGGTTTGGATAGGCAGAGGAGAGTACCCCGCATTTGGTCAGGTGTTCTGTGCTGGGCACTGCTGTCGGCAACGCTCAGACCAAAGCCAGCTTTCCACCTGTCTGTACAGCCTGTGAGCTAAGGATGGTTTTTACATTTTTTAAGGGGGTTAAAAAAGTGGAAAGAATTTTTTTTAGGACACGTGAAAAATGATCTAGACTATCAGCCTCCGTGTCTGTCAGTGAAGCTTGGCTGTTACAGTGAAACGGGTCACTTACTGTCTGTGGCTGCTCCTGCACCCTAAGGGCAGAGCTGAGTGGTTGCCATGGAGACTGTCGGTCCCCAGGGGTGGGGGTGTCCAAAGCATTTACTCTCTGGCCTTTGCAGAACAAGTTGCTGACCCCTGCACCAAAGGTCGACTTTCTTCCTCAGCCTTCATTGGGCATTTGTGGGGGTGTAAGAAGGGGTGGCTGGGGAGAGCTGAGTGGATGAGGGCCCTGGACACGGTGGAGCTCAGGCAGAGGGCGTCCATGGCTCACGGCTGAGGAGGTGAGGCTCTGTCCTCAGCCCCAGGACTGGTGATGTTCAGAAGTGACGCTGACATCGGGATCTCCGAGTTGGGGAATGGGAATGAAAGGCACAGGAATGGGAAGGCCACTCCTGGGCTGGCTGGAACATCTTCCAGTATTGTTCTTGGAAAGTCGGCAGCCAGGGAGACAATTGGAAATACGCACACGGGGCTGGGGGAGGCTGAAGCACCGCGGGGGTCCGAGGAGGGGGACCCAGAGAGGCAGAGACGGCTGCGCCGCCTGGTCCTGGGACGGTGGCCGTCACCACTGAGATTTGCCCCTGCGTCCTGCCAGAGTGGGAGCCAGCTCTGCTGAGCCAGCGGTCCCCCTCCCCACTCACCCACCCTCCGTGTGATCCGGAGCCCCGCCGAGTGCTGGAGGTGAAAAGAACTTGATTTAGGGGCCTCCCTCAACCAGCTCTGGATCTTTGTAGCCAAAGTGTAAAAAACACAGAAAGTTCAAAGAACAAGATGATATACCCAGAGACCCTCCACCATGGATAATTTTTAACTTTTTATTGTGGTGAAGTACATATAACATAAAACTGACCACTTGGACCATTTTTAAGTGTCAGGTTCAGCCGCGTTGATGTGGAGAGCCACCGCCGCTGTCCTCCAGGATGCTTTCATCCTCCCAAGCTGAAGACTCGTCCCCTTAAATGCCACCTCCCTAGCCCCCTCCTCCCCTGGCCCCCGCCGTTCGCCTCCTGTCTCTAGGAGCCTGACTGCTCTAGAGCCTCACGCAGGCGGGATCCTGCAGTACTTGCCTTTTTTTTTTTTGGTTGGAGTGCAGTGGCGCGATCTCGGCTCACTGCAACCTCCGCCTCCCGGGTCCCGGCTCCCGGTTCAAGCAATTCTGCTGCCTCAGCCTCCCGACTAGCTGGGACTACAGGCACCCGCCACCACGCCCAGCTGATTTTTGTATTTTTAGTAGAGACGGGGTTTCACCATATTGGCCAGGCTGGTCTTGAACTCCTGACCTCATGATCTGCCCACCTCAGCCTCCCAAAGTGCTGGGATTACAGGCGGGAGCCCCTGCGCCCGGCCGAGCACTCGCCTCTTGTGACCGGTCTTTTTCACTCGGTGCGGTGTTTTCGGGGCTCATCTGTGCCGTAGCAGGTATCAGAGTTTTCTTTCTTTTCAAGGCCGAATAATATTCCACTGGACCACATTTGCTTTATTCACTCCCAGTTGCTAATTCCTATGTTGGCTTCAAGTCTTTTTTCCCTTCAAAGAGATGAAGGTGAAGCCCCTCTGAGACTGTTCTCTCTCAGCCCCCCAACCTCTGCAGACTTTTGTGAAGCCGGCCTGCATGCAGCCCAGCCGTGGTCGGAGTCCTGGACATCCGCCGTCAGTGACCAGGATGCAGCGTGGCTCTGTACCTGCCTTTTTGGTGACGGAGTCCCGCTCTGCCGCCCAGGCTGGAGTGCAGTGACGCAGTCCCAGCTCACTGCAACTTCCACCTCCCGGGTTCAAGCGCTTCTCCTGTCTCCGCATCCCAAGTAGCCGGAATTACAGGCACCCGCCACCACGCCTGGCTAATGTTTTTGTATTTTCAGTAGAGGCGGGGTTTCGCCATGTTGGCCAGGCTGGTCTCAAACTCCTGACCTCAGGTGATCCATCCACCTTGGCTTCCCAGCGTGTTCGGATTATAGGCGTGAGCCCCTGTGCCCGGCTGTGCCTGCCTCTTCATCGACACGGTCGTTCCCCGGCGTGGCTTGGTGTGTGTTCGTGAGCTCCATGTGTGTACAGACGTCGTTGGTTCTCATCGGCCGTTTAGACGTTTGGTGGTTTCTGGCCATTTAGACGTTTGGTTGGTAGAAACTGGCTGTAAAGTGTTGGAGAAGGTGTCTCCTTGGGTTTCCCCAGGCAGAGCCATCAAGTGTTTTAGGTCGCAGTGCACAGTATATACACATGTTATACGCCCCAAGCTGTCTCACCCACACAGGTGTGTCCTCACAGAGCAGACGCTCCCTGACCCAGTGCTGAGCCTGGCCACGGCCAGTGTTTGAGGCCATTTTCTATTTTTTTCTTCTTTTTTTCCTCTTACGCTGGTGTTGACCCACTAACTTGATTTCAGGATCTACAATAGGGCTGCAAATTGCAGTTTGAAGAACCCCACTTAGGTAGTTCCTAAAGGTGGAATTTCGGGGGGGTCGGGGCTTCTCAGTGATGCTGGGTCCTGCCAGGTCCGTCTTGCCTTGGAAGAGGCAGGGCTGGTGAGAGCTCCCCTTTCCCTCATCCTCTCCAACATGAAGTATTTTTAGACTTAAAATTGCTTTTTTCTGGTCTGTTGGGTGTTGGATTTTTATTTGAAACTGAGAATCTTGCCAGGCGTGGTGGCTCACGCCTGTAATCCCAGCACTTTGGGAGGCTGAGGCAGGTGGATCACCTGAGATCAGGCGTTTGAGACCAGCCTGACAAATACAGTGAAACCTTGTCTCTACTAAAAAAAAAAAAATACAAAAATTAGCTGGGCGTGGTGGTGCACACCTGTAATCCCAGCTATTTGGGAGGCTGAGACAGGAGAATGTCTTGAACCCGGGAGGCAGAGGTTGCAGTGAGCTGAGGTCGCACCACTGCACTCCAACCTGGGTGACAGAGTGAGACTCGGTCTGAAAAAGCGAAAAAAGAAACTGAGAATGTCTTTACATGTTTATCAGAGCTCTGGCCTTCCTCTTGTGTGGAGCACCCATTTTTTCTGTTGAGATGTTGCTCCTTTTCACCACGGATTTGTAGGAGTTCTTTATATATTCTGGATACTAATCCTTTTGTTTATAAAATTTCCTTCTTTCTTTTTCTTGAAACAGAGTCTCACTCTGTCGGCCAGGCTGGAGTGCAGGGGTATGATCTCAGCTCACTACGACCTCCACCTCTCAGGTTCAAGCGATTTTCCTGCATCAGCTTCCCAAGTAGCTGGGACGATAGGTGCCCACCACCACACCTTGCTAATTTTTGTATTTTTGGTAGAGATGGTGTTTCACCATGTTGGCCAGGCTGGTCTCGATCACCTTACCTCAGTGATCTGCCTGCCTCGGCCCCCCAAAGTGCTAGGATTACAGGCATGAGCCACCGCGCCCAGCCTACTTATTTCTTTTTAATGAATTGGAAGGGCTCGTTTGTGCTGACACAGGAGGGAAGCTCAGAAGAGAGAATGCCTGGAGGTTTTTATGAAATGGCTGAGTTGGGAACAGGGTTCCCGTAGCTTAGTGGCTCGGCTTGGGAGGGATTTGCCCCCCAGGGCACATTTGGCAAAGCCTGGAGATGTTCTGGCTGTCATCCTGGGAAGGGAGGTGCTGGTGGCATCCAAGGGTTGAGCCCCTGCGACGCACAGGTGGCCTAGCCGAGGTGGGGAACGTGGCCTGCCCCGTACAGAGCCGCGCACCAGTCCGGAGCCGCGCACCAGTCCGGAGCCGCGCACCAGTCCGGAGCCGCGCACCAGTCCGGAGCCGCGCACCAGCAGGAAGCGCTCCTGTGGCTAACCACCATCCACCGGGTGCCGAGGTTAGGCGGGATGCAAGTCCACGCCCTTGACCGTCTCCTCTCTCTTCCTCCCCAGGCAGGTCTTGACGAGCCCTGCCTGGGCCGAAGCGTGCGGAGGATGGAAACACTTGCCCGGCAATGTCTCTGGGCCGCCTCCTTCGCCGGGCCTCCTCCAAAGCCTCGGACCTCCTGACCCTCACCCTGGCTGGCAGCGGCAGTGGGTCCCCTTCCGTCCTGGATGGCGAGATCATCTACTCCAAGAACAATGTCTGCGTGCACCCCCCAGAGGGGCTGCAGGGGCTGGGGGAGCACCACCCAGGTGAGCTGAGCCGGCAGGCTCCAGGGTTGCGCAGCCCCGGTTATTTTCCAAGGCCCTGGGCCACCCATGGGAGAAAGACAAGTGCGTTTGGTTCCTTTGCCAGAATGTGTAACTAGCTGCAGCAGTCCTCACAGGAGCAGGCTCTGGGGTGTTAGGTCCGGCTCACGGCAGGCTGGGTGAGTCCCTCAGCCCCGCTGCTTTCAGAGGGAGGGACAAAAAGATGGTTAGTGATCCCTGAGGCCTGCCTGGCCCCTTGTCGTTCATGTGAATGACTTGCAACAACAAATAAATGTATTGGCCAGGCGTTGGTGGCTCACACTTATAATCCCAGCATTTTGGGAGGCTGAGGCGGGCGGATCACGAGGTCAGGAGTTCTAGACCAGCCTGGCCAACATGGCAAAATCCTGTCTCTACTAAAAATACAAAAAATTAGCCAGGCGTAGTGGCATGCGCCTGTAATCCCAGCTATTTGGGAGGCTGAGGCAGGAGAATCCCTTGAACCCAGAAGGCAAAGTTTGCAGTGAGCCGAGACCAAGTCATTGCACTCCAACCTGGGCGACAAGGTGGAACTCCGTCTTCAAAAAAAAAACAACAAAAACCAAATTAGTGCATTGCTTTGTTCATCTGTTGCTTTATTTAATTTGCACAACAACCTCATGGGAGTGGCCAGGGCCCCAGCAGGCCTCTTAGATGGGTAGGGACGCAGGTGTGGAGAGGCCGAGCGGCTCTTGGCCGCACAGTACCGTCTGCGAAGGAGGTGAGGCTGCAGGGCCGTCTCTGGACTCTCTCTTCTCATTTCTTCCTGTCACCGCCCCCTTCCTGGCTGCCAAAAGGATGTTTCAGGGCCCCCGTGTCCTGTGGCCTGCACTGGCACGCCCTGACGTTTGCTTGGCCCGGGCAAGAATACAGACAGCAGCCCCAGATAAGATGGCAGAATATTAGCATGATCGTCTAGGCACGGTGGTTCGCGCCTGTAATCCCAGCACTTCAGGAGGCCGAGGCGGGAGGATTGCTTGAGCTCAGGAGTTCGAGACCAGCCTGGGCAACAGAGCTAGACTTCGTCTCTATTAAAAAAAAAAGTTCGGCCGAGTGTGGTGGCTCACACCTGTAACCCCAGCACTCTGTGAGGCTGAGGCGGGCGGATCACAAGGTCAAGAGATGGAGACCATCTTGGCCAATAAGGTGAAACTGCTCTCTACTAAAAAGCAAAAAATCAGCCAGTGTGGTGGCGTGCAGCTGTAGTCGCTTCTACTCGGGAGGCTGAGGTGGGAGGATCGATTGAGCTTGGAAGGTGGAGGCTGCAGTGAGCTGAGATCGTGCGACTGCACTCCAGCTTGAGAGACAGGGTGAGACTGTCTTGAAAACAAAAACACAAAAACCAAAAAGGTGAACGGCAGGCCGCGCTCGGGAACCAGTGCCCCTGGACCTGCCGGAGCGTGTGTTCTTGGCGCGCTGAGCTGGGATTCATTTCGAGCTCCGCTGTTTCCCTCTAGCGCGTTTGCTCGGGGCCAGGCTGTATCTGAAGCCCGACTGGCGCTTGACTAAAGGGTGGTGGCCTCTAGGAGCCGCCGCCAGAGGCGCCATAAGGGCCTGATCCACAGCGCCCCGGCCTCTAACGCCGTCCCCCTGGTTCCTCACAGGTTACCTGTGCTTGTACATGGAGAAGGATGAGATGCTGGGAGCCACCCTCATCCTGGCGTGGGTCCCCAACTCTCGCATCCAGAGGCAGGACGAGGAGGCCCTGCGTTACATCACGCCAGAGAGCTCCCCGGTTCGCAAGGCACCCCGCCCTCGGGGCCGGCGTGCCCGGAGCTCGGGGGCCTCCCACCAGCCCTCCCCCACGGAGCTGCGGCCCACCCTGACCCCCAAAGATGAGGACATCCTGGTGGTGGCCCAGAGCGTTCCGGACAGTGTGCTGGCCAGCCCTGCGCCGGAGGACGAGGAGAAGCTGGCCCAGGGCTCGGGGGTGGACGGTGCCCGGCCGGCCTCGCAGCCTGCCCGCAGCCCCTCCGGGATCTTGTCGACAGTCGGTTCGCAGGACGGCACCGAGGAGGGGCGGGAGCTGCGGCCCGAGGCCGGGGAGGAGGATGGCTCCCTGGAGCTGTCCGCGGAGGGCGTGAGCAGGGACAGCTCCTTCGACTCGGACTCAGACGCCTTCTCCTCGCCCTTCTGCCTCTCACCCATCAGCGCGGCGCTGGCCGAGAACCGCGGCTCCGTGTTTCTGGAAAGCGACAGCAGGTGAGTTCCTGGCTCTGGGCAGGGGCTCTCGGGAGGCCCCCAAGGCCTGACCGGGAAGGGAAGCAGTCTCCTGTGTCACCTGCGGTGCTGGGTAAGCGCTGGAGGCATCTGCCCCACCCACCTGCGGCTGTGGCTGCGGCAGGAGCCCCTCGGGCTCTGAAGGGTGTGCCGCGGGCTTTCCACATTCTCCTCCCTCCTTGCTTTCGGCAGCCTCACCTGGGACCAAACAGGCCCTGCCAGGTCTGACGGGTCCATGACCGAGGCCAAGTCCCCTGGAGTCCTAGTCCCTCTGTTCCCATCGCCAGGAGGGCAGGAGATTCTCAGTCCTCAAGTGAGTGGCCGAGAGGCCCGGTGGCATCATGAGGCTCACGCACAGGGCTGGCCCACCCCAGATATGCTGCTTTGCTTGGTCCCAGCCTCCTGCTCCACCCTGCAGCCCACCGGGCTCGTGACCTGCCCCCGGAGGTCCCCGGAGGCGTCAGCCTCCCTCTGTCTTGTAACTGTAGAGGACGGAACGTAGCCTCGGGCAGTGTTGACCACGGTCACCGGACTTGGCTGCCGCTGTGCACCCAGGGAGTCCAGCCAGAGCACCTGGACCCCTTGGTGGCCACCCTAGCGGGAGCTGGAATCCAACCCATGCCCTGTGGTGGGCCCCCTGGGCCTTGGAGCCCAAAGAGACTTTCCTGAGTGGGGAGGGTTGCGTATTGCCATGAGGGTCCTCCTGGCCTTGTGGTGGGCTCCAGTGTGGTTGCCTAGGCCTGGAGCCCCCAGAGCCAGCACAGAGGGCCCGTGTCCAACTTGCACAGCCCCTTCCTATGCCCTGGCTGTGGTCCTTACACTCATTAGATTTCTAGGCAAATAATGGTGCTGACCACAGACAATCAGAGCTGACGTCAGCCAGCAAGCAGGTCAGCAACTACTGAGCTCGTGGTGTGAGCCGGGCGCGTGCTGGATGTGGGCGACCCGTGCCTCGCCTGGGCGCTGGACGCCATGGGCTGTGGATGGTGCATGTGTGTGCTCTCCACAACCCCACGCCCCACGAGGCGGGCCCTCGGATCATCCCTGGTATGGAAGGGGAAAGGGAGGCTTGGAGAAGGTCAGTGACTTCTGGCCAGGCTGGGATTTGAACCCAACTGGGTCTGCGCCTGGCCTGCAGCATGAAAGGTCACCCCAGGCCGATGTAGCCCGGGACCAGCGGGGCATGATGCAGGGACACAAGCTTTGCGGCCTCAGCAGGGGTGACTGTGGGGCGAGCTTTCCCTGATTACATCCCTCCAGTAAGATACAGTCCGTTCGAGCCCCAGGGTGAACCGGTAACTCTTCTCTCAATTATCTGAGAGTGCAGATAAAAGGAAGCCATGAGCTGTAAGGACTCCAGGTCCCAGGAGGCTCACTGAGCTGGGTGGCGTCCAGGGCTGGGGAACCCGGCTGCCTGGGTTCTGGTCCTGACCTGGGTCCCACCGTCCGGGCTCTGTCAGAGCTCCCCCTGGTGGTGCCAAGCTGATGGTGCAACAGAACCTGTGGGGGTCCCCAGGGCCCAGCTGAAGGGGAGGTCCCAGCTGTGTCCCAGAGAGGTGGTGGGCTTGAGGCTGAGGACTCAGTGGCAGAACCCCAGCCAGAACCTGGCCGGTCAGCTCTGTCCAGCAGCCCCTTTCGTAGGGAGCTCAGGCTTAGGAGCTGGGGACTTGAGTGCTGGTTGAGTGCTGGCATCACTGGTCAATGTGAAGCTAGGAAAGTCCTTAGTCTTCTTGGAGCCTTGGTTTCCCCGTTTGTAAGATGAGGCTGGTGATAGCTGCTCTCTGGGGGTATTGTGAGAATGCACCCCATTCCCCTTTCCTCACCCTCCGCCTTGGTGGTTCTCCAACCTGGCTGCATGTGTTGGGGAGTTCTGGGGGGGAGCCTTTGTACAATGCTGAAGCCCAGGTACCTCCAGGCTCTTCTAGAGCAGTGATTCTCACCGATTCTGTCCCCAGGGTGTGTGGCAATGCCAGGAGACACTTTTTGTCGCAACCGAGGGTGGGAGTGAATTGGCATCAGTGAACAGTGGTCGGGGTGCCGTGCACTCACTCTGGAAGCCAAGCTGCCCCTCTGACTGGGACCCGCCGGGGGCCGCCCATCATTTTCAGGATGAAGTGCCATGTCCTTAGCGCAGGGTCCAAGGCCCGTCACCATCTGGCCCCTGCTGAGCGATGGTGCTCCCTCTTCCTCCCCCGACCGTGCACACCTTCAAGTTCACGGTCCCCTCCGTCTCTGGATCTCCTGGGCTCTCTCAGCCACATGCATTTGGTCAGCGATCCCCTCTGTCCGGGCTTCCTCCTCCCCGTCTCTCCTAATTGACCAGCTTGTGTGAGTGAGACTCGGCTCCAGCCGACGGGGCACCTTCATGCCAGCTTTTTGGGGAGGCTTCACCATTCCCCTGACCCCAGGCCAAGGAGGGCGCTCCCCATGGCCCCCTTCTCTGCTCTGCTGCTTGAGTCCCCACAGAGAATGCACCCCGTCTGCCTGTCCATCCCCAGCTGATGGGAGGCAGATGGTGGTGAAGGACTAACTTCTGGAGCCTGACAGATCTGTTTCTAGTCCTGGCGTCACCCCGAGTTGTGTGTGATTTTGCGGCCGTTACCTCCCACGTCCAAAACGCAGATGCCTCAAGGGTCTGAATTGCGGCCAAGAGCCTTCTTGTAGGGTGGAGCCTGTGTGAAGGTTGAGCACCAGCCTGGGGTATACGGTCAGCGAGCCTGGCCTGGGACCCGTCCTGTCCCCACCTGGAGGCCGTGCTGGGGGGTGCTGCTCCTGACGAAGGCTCAGAAAATGCCTCTTGGCCGCGGCTCGACCCTCAGGCCCCTGTTAGCCGGCTCCAGAGGAGGCTTGATGAACATGGTGAGGTGCAGCTTTGTGCTGGGATGAGGTGGACGTGGACGGGACTCTCACCCCTGCCCCGGAAGTGTGTGCTTCAGTCTTGAGGCTGGAGTGAAAACAGCCTGTCTCCAAGACAGACTGCGGGGAGCTTGCTTTTCATTTTTAAAAAGTAGACATGGAGGCCGGTTGCTGTGACTCACACCTGCAATCCCAGCACTTTGGGAGGCCAAGGTGGGTGGATCACTTGAGACTAGGAGTTCAAGACCAGCTGGGAAAAATGGCAAAACCTTGTCTCTATAAAAAATACGAAACAATTAGCTGGGCATAGTGGTGCGAGCCTATGATCCCAGCTACTCGGGAGGGAGGCTGAGACAGGAGGATCGCTTGAGCCTGGGAGGTGGAGGCCGCAGTGAGCTGTGATCACACCACTGCACTCCATCCTGGGTAGCAGAGACATATCCTGTCTGAAAAAAAAAAGAAAAGCAGACATGGATTCTGGAAGGGGCTGGGCAGGCTCTGCACTTCCCCTGCCCTTCCTTGCTCCTCTGCGCTTCCTGGTCCCCACAGCGTGGTAGACCCTGGAAGCAGACGTGGTGCTCCTCACTCCCTCCCCATCCTCTGGCACCTTCATGTGAAGGGACTGGAAAACCTTGGCTAAGACGGTTAATTGTCCTGGACGCTATAGAGCAGGCGTCCCCAGCCCGGCTGCCTGTGAGAATGCCCTGGGCAGCTTTAAAAATCCTGATGCCCAGGCTGCACCCAGACCAATTAAACCAGGACTGCTGGGTGCTGCCCAGGCATGGGACTTTTTTGAACTCCCTGGGGGTTTGTGAAGTCCAGGCAGCATTGAGAACCCCTGCTGTGAAGGGGCGCAGAGAGAGAGACAGAGAGAGAGAGAGAGAGAGAGAGAGAGAGAGGTGGGGGGAGAGAGAGAGGGAGGAAGAGAGAGAGAGGAAGAGAGAGAGAGAGAGAGGAAGAGAGAGAGAGGAAGAGAGAGAGAGGAAGACAGACAGAGAGAGAGAGAGGAAGAGACAGAGAGGAAGAGAGAGAGAGAGAGAGCACGAGCGTGCAGAGAGAGAGCCCAAGCCTGGTGCTCTGGGGTGTGGGGGGACAGAGAGAGAGAGACAAGGAGGGTGGAGAGAGTGGGGTGGGGAGGGAGGGAGAGAGAGCGCTAGCACGCTTGGTGCTCTGGGGTGGGGAGTGGCGTCAGGGCTGAGCCCCCCAGAGGGGGTCTATTAATTAACTTGAGTCCCTGGGGTGGGCAGAGCAGGTAGGCTGGCTCGAGGGTCCCCTCTAGTGGTAGATGTGAAGAACTGCACGTGCAGGCTGCGTGTCTGGCTGGGATTGGCCAGGAGGATGAACTCCCCCACCCCCCTCCGGAGCCGGGGGTCCCCAGGCATCTGGTTATTTGCAGGTAGCTCACAGAAGAGCTGCAGGGTTAGAAATGGCGGTGTCCCCGGGGACACATCCGTGTGCTACCTGTAGGGTAGGGCCGGGCAAGGCCTGGATGCTGGAAGGTGAGCCCACCTACCAACCCCAGAGGGCTCCTTTGGAACCCCCAGCCCCCAGCCCTGCCACAGCCTGGAAATCCTTGACCAAGAGAGTATTTAAGGCTGACTTGGGGGATGGGTGATGAGAGAGCTGCTGTTGCCAATGCATCGTCCCACCTCCCTGCCCTGAGACCCCAAGACCCTGAGCTTCCCTTCAGGGAAGTCTCGGTCCTGTAGCCTCCTCAGTGTCGGAAAGCAAGGCTCTGGGGTGTGCTGGGGAGGGTGACCACCAGGCACGACTGCTCATCCTGCCCTTGGTTTCTGTGCTGGAAAGTGCTGTCCGGTCTAAAAGGCCAGTTGGGGGAGGGTGTGGGATAACAGGGTGCCCTGGGGCCAGGACCGTGTCCGCTGACCCTGCCCTGGGGATGTGCATTGGTGACCTAGATAAAAAACGGAAAGAAGCCTGGGCAGCATAGCAAGACCCCATCTCTACCAAAAAAAGAAAATTAGCTGGGTGTGGTGGGGCACACTTTTAGCCTTAGCTACTCTGGAGGTTGAGGCAGGAGGATTGCTTGAGCCCGGGAGGCGGCAGCTGCAGTCAGCTGTGATCGCACCAGTGCACTCAGGCGTGGGTGAGAGGGGGACACCTTTTCT